GGAGAGAGTTGTCCCTCCGGAAAGCAGATAAGGGTGGGGAGGGAAAGATGTCTTTGGTGGTTGGGTCGGATTGCAGATGGCGGAAGTGTCGGAGGATGATGCGTTGGATCCGGAGGTTGTTGGGGTGGTACGTGAGGACGAGGGGGATTCTTTTTTGGTTCTTATTGCGTGGACGGGGTGTGAGGGATGAGGTGTGGGAGATGTGGGAGACACGGTTGAGGGCGTTCTCGACCACCGAGGAGGGGAAGTTACGGTCCTTGAAAAACGAGGACAACTGAGATGTACAGGAGTGGAATGCCTCATCCTGGGAGCAGATGCGGCGGCGGCGAAGGAATTGGGAATAGGGGATAGCATTTTTGCAGGAAGGTGGGTGGGAGGAGGAGTATTCTAGGTAGCTGTGGGAGTCGGTGGGCTTGAAATGAATATCGGTTTCTTGGTGGTTGCCCGATATGGAGACAGAGAGGTCCAGGAAGGGGAGAGAGGTGTTAGAGATGGTCCAGGTAAACTTAAGGTTGGGGTGGAAGGTGTTAGTGAAGTGTATGAACTGTTCGAGCTCCTCGTGGGAGCACGAGGCGGCGCCGATACAGTCATCAATGTAACGGAGGAAGAGGTGGGGTTTAGGGCCAGTGTAGGTACAGAAGAGGGATTGTTCCACGTAACCTACAAAGAGGCAGGTGTAGCTTGGGCCCATGCGGGTACCCATGGCCACCCCCTTTGTCTGTAGGAAGTGGGAGGAATTGAAAGAGAAGTTGTTGAGTGTGAGGACGAGTTCGGCTAAGCGGATGAGGGTGTCAGTGGAGGGGGACTGGTCGGGCCTGCGGGACAGGAAGAAGCGGAGGGCCTTAAGGCCATCTGCATGGGGAATGCAGGTGTAGAGGGACTGGACGTCCATGGTAAAGATGAGGTGTTGGGGACCGGGGAATTGGAAGTTCTGGAGGAGGTGGAGGGCGTGGGTGGTGTCATGGACATAGGTAGGGAGTTCCTGGACCAAGGGGGAGAAAATGGAGTCTAGATAGTTGGAGATCAGTTCGGTGGGGCAGGAGCAGGCGGAGACAATGGGTCGACCAGGGCATTCAGGTTTGTGGATTTTGGGAAGGAGATAGAAGCGGGCAGTGCGAGGTTGGGGAACGATGAGGTTGGAGGCCGTGGGTGGGAGGTCACCTGAGGTGATGAGGTTGTGGATGATTTGGGAGATGATGGTTTGGTGCTCAGGGGTGGGGTCATGATCAAGGGGGCGGTAGGAGGAGGTGTCGGAGAGTTGGCGTCCGGCCTCGGCGATGTAGAGGTCAGTGCGCCATACTACAACTGCGCCTCCCTTGTCCGCGGGTTTTATGGTGAAGTTGGGATTGGAGCGGAGGGAGCGGAGGGCTGCACGTTCTGCGGGGGAGAGGTTGGAGTGGGTGAGAGGGGTGGAGAGGTTGAGGCGATTGATGTCTCGACGGCAGTTGGAGATGGAGAGGTCGAGGGAGGGTAGGAGACCTTGGGGTGGTGTCCAGGAGGAGGGGGTGTGTTGGAAGCGGGAGAAGGGGTCAGTAGAGGGAGGGTTAGGTTCACGGTTAAAGAAGTAAGCGTGGAGGCGGAGGCGGCGGAAAAACTGCTCTATGTCCTGAAACTGTCCTCTTGACCGAGAGGGGCAATCACCAAGAAGATCTTAGCTGGTGCAGCAGTTATATTTCTACGAAATGATGTGTTGATGTATGGACGTGTGACTCGAGTTTTGTGTTGTTAGGAAATGTTTGAAACGTAATTGATTTGATGTCGGAGCCATTTAGTCACTTATTCCATTTTCTCAGCTGCTAAAAGTGAGCAGGTTACTGCTGGCTTGGCAGTGAGGTAGCTCGGAGCCAGAGTGTGCTTTTTCATTGTCAGTGGATCTGGTAAATGTAGAACATCACTTGTGTTCTCCCAGTCCAGCTTGTTCATTAAATAAAAACCAAACAAACTGCGGATGCTGTAAATCTGGAGCAAAAACAAAGTTGCTGGAAAAGTTCAGCAGGTCTGACAGCATCTGTGAAAGAAAGAACAGAATTAACGTTTCGGGTCTGGTGACGCTTCTCAAAACTTTGTTTTTGTTCCAGCTGGTTCATTGCTACCCTGGATCCTTGTGTTCGCTGCTGAGGCCAAGATGAGAAGCAGGAGCTGGACTAGACCATTTGGCTCTTTATACTTTCAATTGCAGTTGACCATCTTTCTTAATCATGACTTTCTACACTGTCGCCTTTATTCTTTGAATACCTTGAAATCTAAAAATCTATTGATCTGTCTTGAATATTTTCAATGACCAAACATTTTTACAATCCCTGTGGAGACTGTTGACATTTGAAGAGATTTGAATCTCCCGGTGTCTTAGAAAGATGAATACACACCAAGATTTCGTATTTAAGTTTTCTTATTTATTCGCTTGTGGGACATGGGTGTCACTGGCTGGCTAGCATTTATTGCCTGTCCCTAGCTGCCCTTGAAAAGGTGGTGGTGAACTGCCTTCTTAAATCGCTGCAGCCCACCTGATGTGTGTTGATCCACAATGCCATTAGGATTTTGTCCCAGCAACTGTGAAGGAACGGCGATTATAATGCCTTGGAGGGGAACTTGCAGAGAGTGGTGCTTCCATATATCTGCTGCCCTTGTCCTTCTAGATGGAAGTGGTTGTGGGTTTGGAAGATGCTGTCTAAAAATCTTTGGTGGATTTCTGCAGTGCATCTTGTAGATAGTACACGCTGCTGATACTGAGCGTCGGTGGTGGAGCTAGTAGATGTGGTGCCAGTTAGGCGGGCTGCTTTGTCCTGGGTGGAGTCAAGCTTCTTGAATGTTGCTGGAGTTGCACCCATCCAGGCACGCGGGAAGTATTCCTTCTTACTCCTGACTTGTGCCTGGTAGATTGGTAGATAGGAGGTAAGTTATGATCTAAAACTAAATCAAACTTAAATATTACTTAGGAGACAACGAATGGACTAAGCTATAGACTATAAACTTGCTGACACAACTGAAAACCTCACACACTGTTTATATGCCACAGCATTTTCTTAGCAGATACATAACATTGTATTAAAAAAAATACAAGTCTCAATGGTCTCCTGATGATTCAGTGTGCTGTCTTCTTCCTGTCCTGTTAGAGAGAATCTTCCAGTGTCCAATGTAAACAAAGACCAATTCATTCAACTCTTTGGATGCTATTAAAAGGAATGCTTTTTGTGAGATTTCAAGCTCTCTAACTTTCACAATCACCGTTTCCTCCAACGTGTGTTCACTAGCTGCTCTGCTTGGTATTTAATGTAAAAATTGGCACAGCATCACCTATTGTGGTCTACTTCCCACTAGTCCTACAATCTGACTTTCTAACTCTGGAGGTTATGTCTCCTCAAGATCAATAAGATCTACCTCTCTAGTGTCTGGGTGTTAAAGCTTAATCCTTACTCAGGGCTTGACCTTATCCCATGGCTACCAGGTTACAGGGGCTTGTCTCTGGGCAGATCTAGTAGGAGGTCACATCAACTGCCTCTCCAAACTATTCAATTTTACACTGAATTAGAGAAAATTATTTAAAACATAATCGTTTTGTAAAATCCATATTCATAACAATCTGCAGACAGAGTAGAGCGTAATAAAAATTTTTTTTTTGAGTAAAGAAACTTCTCCTGATCTTTCTGTGAAATTATTCTGAGACTCTGGACTGAATCTTAAATTTTTTTGGCTCTCTGTCAAATTCATGGAGTTTCATGAAGGGTTTCTCGTCATAAGGCTTAGTTTTTTGTGCTGCTATCCAAAACTTGCCTCATTAACGAAGTATTCAGTCTCATAACACCTCTATCATATAATGCTAGCCTAATTCTCCCACTCACATAGCTGTGAGAACTCATTGTTGCCAAGATAACCCAGAAAGGATCAGCATCCCTGGCACTCGTGCCATCCTAAAAAGTCTAGAGCTGTTCTGCACAGTTCCTGACATTTGACTGGATATTGGGATGTTGTGCACTGGGTGATAGAGGAGGGGCATCCTATTCCGTTAGGACTGACAGAGGAGGCACTGGCACCAGACTCTGCCAACCTGGTCTGAGGTTGCTACCTGGATCAATGTGGTCTCAGCTGTCTGGTGGAATGCCTGGCACCGTTGGAAGAAGGTCAATGACCTTCTCTGTTCGACCAGAATCTCTTCTCCACTACTTCATCCTTATCCTATCTATGCCAACCTCCCACCAAGGCTCATGCTCCACCATACTATCCTATTGCCTGTAATATCTTCTCTCACTTACCCCCATCCCTGACACCACTTATCCTGCATGCCCTCTAACTGCCCACTCACTCGCTTGCGTCACCACATCAACTTTTGCCCCCTCACCTGTAGCAGCACTAATACGTGCCACACTCTTCCAGCACCCTTAATATCTCCCTTTCCCACATTCCAGGAGAAAACAGCCCACAATAGAACAGAAAGAGCCAAGACAGGTGGTGGGCTGCCTAACATTTGGCTTCTTACCGCTTATGAGGTCATGATCCTGACCCTGACTGCCCCAAGTGACTGACTGATCATATCTGATGCCTTGGACTGATATTGGAGATTGCTGTTGATACACTGCAAGGAACTTTCAGGCTGAAGGCTATCTCCCTCAACCTTACTGAGGCCTACTGATAGCCATGACAAACTTTCTGGCTTTGTGTCTGTGCTAAATGACAAGGCAGTACAGAAATATAGTGAGTCTGGCTGAGGGAACGTACTTGAAAAAGGCAGGGCAAGGAAATTATCCATGTCTAGTTTCCTTATGGTGGGTGGTAGGGTAGGAAGTTGCAAACTTAATGAGGAGAGATCTGCAGCTAACAAGGCCAGCAACAAGCAGCAACCCGCCTTAATAGGAAACTTGCTGCTGCCTAGAGAGAGAATCTCATTTCGGCACCAGGAACTCTGTTTGAAAATGCAGTGAGTTATTCCCAACATTGAGAAAGGCCTCACCTGATTTTTCTCACATGATTCTCCCAGATTTCTCCTCATATCTCACATTGCAGAGACTCCCATATGTTTCAGCCCTCTGTAGTTGTGGTCTAGAATCTCCAGGCAGAGCATCATCTTATGTGCCAACCCAATCAATTTCGTTAAGCATTTTGTGTGTTGCAGTGAAATTCTGTTCATTCTTCTACAGTTCGAGTCTACTTGATCTATCCTTGTGTGACAATTCTTATATCACAAGAATCAGCCTGATGAACCTTTGTTACACTCCTTCTAGGGATAAGTTGGCATTTACTTAGTTTAAGGAAATCTTCACACAGGTATTCCAGGTGCAGTACCACCAAGGTCCTGGGGATTTGTTATAAGGCTTCTTCATTCTTAATTGTAGCCATTTGTTTGCCTAATTCTGACTCACGTGAGAGCGCTTAGGATGTTTTGGTACTCAGAAGTACTTTTATCCGCCACTGTTAAGTGGATAGCTTTGCTTCTTCTAAATATTAAACCTGTCTGTGTCTCTCTAAAATCTCCTTTAACCCTTCTTGCAGCTTACTTTCCCCCATAGCTTGCAATAGAATAATTGAAAGTTATGGTTGGACCATTTACTTTATGGAGTTGTTTTTGTTTAAGGGAATGGATATTTGTTGAAAATTATAAATTAATTCTTTGAATGTTCTTCATTGTTTATTGGTTGTTATATTGTTTAATGTTTCTTCTTAATCTATTTGAACCAACACACGCCTAATTCTACATGATGAACTTTGTCTTGATTTAAGACTCTAGCTTCAGATGTGATTAAATTACTCCCAAAGTCAATTCTGTCACATTGTTATATCTGGATGAGAAGGAGTCAATGCCCCAGGTTTGCTGCAACAAAGATTTATGTTCTTTCATAGCATAAAGCTACACCTCTCTCTAATTTTAAATGTAGTTACCTAATTTCTACAGTGCCAGTAATGGATCAATTATAAGGTTTTCTTGAGTGAAAGAAAGAAATGTCATTGCTTGTTAATCCCAAAGGTAGAATCAGAGAACCCCTATAATGTGGAAGCAGACCACTTGGTCCATCAAGTCCACACTGCCTGTCCAAAGAATATTCTGCCCAGATCCAAACCCCCATCCCCACCTGATTCCTGCATTTCCCATGGCCAGTCCACCTAACCTGCACATCTTTGGACTGTGGGAGTAAACCAAAGCACTCGAAAGAAATCCACAAAGACGCAGGGAGAATGTGCAAACTCCACACAGTTGCCTGAGGGTGGAATTGAACCTGGGTCCCTAGCATTGTGAGGGAGCGGTGCTACCCACTGAGCCATCATGCTGTCAGTAGGAAGAACAAACCTAAAAAGGAATAATGTCCTATACAAAAGGAGCATGAAAGGAATATTCAATTTTAAATCCTCGGGGTGTAGGTTTTAACCCAACACTGCAGTAATTTATTTGGTGTCTTAAATCATTAGAATTAAAATTAGGTTTTATTGTCATGAGTACTGAAGGACAGGCATACATAAGTGTACAAAGTTGCTATTTTTGGCACAATCTTGGGTACAAGGGTGCCTTGGTGTAAAATCTTGGGTGTAAATTAGAAAAATAGAGAAATAATGTTAAAAGTTCAGCATTACAGTCTTCTTAAGCAGACAAAAAAAGAAAAAATAATAAAAGCAGATGGAGCAGATGAGCCTGCGCTGGGCATCTCCTTGAGGCCGGGAACAAGATAACATCAACAATAGCGAATATTTCTGTTGTCATTTGAGTATGTGCTATTCTGTTGTTTCTTTTTAATCAGTCTTGTCACTGGGCTCTTTTATTCTGAGGCAGAGAGCGAGTGAGCTTTCTCAAGCTACTGTTCTACAGTAACGCAGCTTGTTGAAATAAACTTATCTGTAGCAGTCACTCAGAGACAGTAAGAACTGCCGATGCTGGAGTCAGAGATAACACCATGTGGAGCCTGAGGAACACAGCAGCATCAGAGGAGAAGGAAGGCTGACGTTTCGGGTCGGGACCCTTCCACTTTCCTGCTCCTCTGATGCTGCCTGGCCTGCTGTGTTCCTCCAGCTCCACACTGTGGTAACTGTAGAAATGGTTTGTTTTTCAGATTTGCTTATTGTGAGTGAGATTGCATCTCTACTGTGTGAAAATCCCCAGATAAGTGTGTAAAAATAGATGAGATTTCTCTCAAGCCTTTCTGAGTTGTCTAGTTTCAGTACTTGGTGATAAAATGTTAATTTTAAATTTAGATTCATTTTGCTTATTTCACATTGATTTCCTGAAGTTTGGTTGACATTTTCAGTCAGGTGATTGCTGTGGCCCCAGCAGTGTTTTCCATGTTTTTGCCCCTCTTTGAAATCATTTCAGTTCATGAAATTACCAGAATTAAAAATCAGACAATGCAGTTGGAAAAATCAATTATCCATATTTTATTACCTTCATAGCAATTTTATAATCCCTATTTCCTAGTGGTCCCTTACTATAAGCATTGTTCGTCAATTATTTGTCATGGCACAATACCACATCTAAACTAATACATTCCTGAGTTGGTTCCTCTGCATACTGATCCAGAAAATACTCTCGTGAATATTCTGTAGTGGATCAGAAGTGATCCTCCAGAAATTTCTCCCACATCATTTTTCTTTTAAATCTCTTTGAGGAGCAGAGGGATCTTGGGGTAATTATTCACAGATCCCTGAAGTCAGCAGAGGATAGTTAAGATGCAGAGGAAAATTGGGTAGGAAGGAAATGGCAGAAAAGGTAAATGTTTTTCTTTGACGTAAAGATATGTAAAATTGTGGGAACCAAAGGTTTTATGAAAGTGAATTATTAATATTAAGGAAGGTGTACTGGAAAAATTAATAGGACTAAAAGCTGATAAATACCCTGGAACAACTAATGCTATAGAATTCTAAAAGAAGCAGCTGTGGACCTGATAGATGAATTAGTTTTGATATTCAAAAATCCCCTGGAATCTCGTTTGGTCTCCCTGTAGTGGAAGTTAGCCAATGTCACATTGCTGTTATTAATTCTCCCTATGAACGTAGACAGTGATCTCGAAGTCATTCTGCCACACAGTGTAGATCTGATCCTGACCTTGTCTACACCCACATGTATGTGCGTACCACAGAGATCCCAGCCAATCACTCCATGCTTACATACGATGCTGGGGAAAAAAATCAGTGATTCGGGCCTGCTTCAGGTAACTCCAGTGTGTGTGTGAAGAAAGTGTGAATGGAGGAGAGCTGAGGGGCAGATTCTGTATTATTTCTTGGGCTATCTGCTTCAATTTTGTTCCCTGCAGGATGCTCGGAGTGCTGTGTGAGATGTCTCAGGGGCGTTCCCTATGCCTCTCTCATTGCCACCATCCTGTGTTTTGTGGGAGTGGCCCTTTTTTGTGGCTGTGGCCATGAAGCCCTGACTGGGACAAAGAAACTCATTGAACTTGACTTCTCCAAAGACTTCATGGACTACGCTCTCTTGGCAAATGTGTATGTATTCTCTTCCTCTTCTGCCTTGTCTCAACATTTATTTTGTGTTTTAAAAATTCATACACCGGATAAGGACTGTCTGGGCTAGTATTAATTGCTGAAAGGACAGTTAAGAGTCAACCACAGAGCTGTGGGTCTAGAATCACATGTAGGCCAGATGAGGAGTTCAGATGCCAGATGGCAGTTCCCTTCCCTAAAGGGCAATAGTGAACTAGATGGGTTTTCCAACAGTTGACAATGATTTCATTGTCCAAAATTGGAAGGTAATCATTAGACCTTTACATTGCTGATTCCTATGGAATTCAAATGTCACCATCTGCCATGGCTGGAATTGAACCTGGGTCCCCCGAACATTACCTAGGTCTCTGGATTAACAGTCAAGTGATAGTACCACCAGGCTATTGCCTCCTGGCATGCTACTGACTTAGGAGGAACATGAAGCTGTGTCATTCAGAGCAGAAAGTTGCCAAGGGATATGGATTGATAGTGAGTGAGTGAAACTGTTGAGTTCACTGCAAATGTAGGATCATCCACTGGAGAGCTTGATGGATGATTCTGCAGTTTAATGGTGAGGATCTAGGAACAAGGAGATTTAGGCTACCAGGTGCAGAAATATTAAATTCCAGTGGTTGTGGTACAGAAAAAGTGGTCGAAAAATTTAATTAAATGTTGGGCTTTATCTTAAGTGATGCTTTAGTTGTACAGCGCTCCAACTGGACTCCATTTGAATTAACTGGGCTCAGTGTTGGCACCCTGGGAGGGAATCATTGGAGGGGCTAAGCAGTGCAAATTCATCTGAATAGTATCATGGTTCACTGGGTTAGAAGGCAGATTAGGTGTATGTGCACTTATGTTCAAAGATCGAGGGATGGTCAGATTGAGGTTTTAAGAATTTGGTAAGGTAGACAGGAGAATTAAGAATGAAGGAATTAGGCTGTGGGTAGGATCTAATTGAGGGGCCTAGATAGTCTCAATAGGAATAAATGTTTTCCTTTAGAAATGGGGTCAATTACTGGTGGGAGGTGGGCTGTGGATTTGAAATAAGGGGCAAGAGAGGATTTAGGAAAATTGTTTTCATCTCGAACATGACCAATATCTGGAACTTGCTGCAATACTGCTGGGAAATTTTCTGAAGAAGGGTCTAGGCCCGAAACGTTAGCCTTCCTGCTCCTCTGATGCTGCTTGGCCTGCTGTGTTCATCCAGCTCTACACCTTGTTATCTCAGATTCTCCAGCATCTGCAGTTCCTACTATCTCTGATACAAATGTAGAGGATGTTTTAAGTTTTCATGACACAAATCAGTTGTCTGTTTTTGTTGGGTAACAATATCAAAAGATCATGAGGTAGTAATCAGCCATGGTCTCATTGAATTACAAACTGCTATGATGGACTGAATGGCCTCCTTTTCCTGTCTTCCCCTCTTGGTAGAATGTGGTTAAATGTGAGATTATCCATTTTGGTAACAAAAACAAGAAGGCAGACAATTATCTTAAAGCAATAGAGTGGGAAAGGGGGAGGTGCAAGGATACCTGGGTGTCCTTGTACACCAGTTGCTGAAAGTATGCAGGCAGTAAAGAAAGCAAATGGTATATTGACATTTGTAGTGAGAGGATTTGAGTAAAGGAGCAAGGATGTCTTGCTGAAATTGTACAGGGCCTTGGTGAGACTGCACTTGGAATATTTGTTGCATTTTTGGCCTCCTTATCTGAACAAGGATGTTCTGGCTATGGAGAGAGTGTAACAAATGTTTGCCAGCCTGATTCCTGGGATGGCAGGACTGATGTATGAAAAGAGATTGGATTGGTTAGGACTATACTCCCTGCATTGAAGAAAAGTGAGAGGGAATCTCATAGAAACCTATAAAACTCTAATAGGAATTCTGACAAGGTAAATGCAGGAAGGATGCTTCTGAGACTCTTGGTCCTGGACTCTCCATTGAGTCACTGTCTAAGATGCGAGATAGGCCATTTAGGACTAAGTTGAGGAGAAATTCATTCACCCGGAAAGTAATGAACCTGTGGAATTCTCTGGCACAGAAGTGATTGAGGCCAAAGCATTGCGTGTTTTGAAGAAGGAGATAGATATTGTTCTTGGGACTAAAGAGATAAAAGTGCCTGGGAACAAAGTAGGAGCAGGCTGCTGAGGTGGATGATCAGCCATCATCATAGTGAATGGCAGAGCAGGCTCAAAGAAGTTCCCATTGTCTTTACGTGGTCTGTGTTTCTGTGAGTTTTGTGTGAAGGAGGTGTACTGATGTTGTGATTTGTTTCTGCGTTCCCTCTTCTTTCTGCTGCCACCAGGATCCAGGTGTTCCAGTACATTATCTATGGGACGGCATCATTCTTCTTCCTATATGGGGTACTGCTGCTGGCAGAAGGCTTTTACACCACCAGTGCAGTCAGATCCCTCTTTGGGGAATTCAGGACCACCTTGTGCGGCCGCTGTGTCAGTGCAACTGTAAGTTTCTCAAAACCTATGCTGTGGAATACTCCTGAACCTGAACTCTGATCTCTATCCCTAGTTGATCGGCCAGGGTGCATCTCCCAGCCCCCAACACCATATATTTATGTTTTCCATTGCCCTTGGTTCATAAGGGAGTGAGCAATCGCCAATTCAGCCTATTCTATATGGTCCATCATGAGTAAAACAAACTCATAAAATGAGAATTTGTTTTGGCAGTGGCAGTGACCATGGGGCATCCCACTGCAGTATCCAACCTAGTGAAAAGCTTTTCAGTTGTCATCGCTATTATGATGTCAGAAACGTGGCAACCAATTTGTGCCCAGCAAGCTCCCGCAACCTTTCCGACCTTTCCTTAGTTGTAACGTATGTTCTCTAGTTCTCATACAACCTGATGCAGCTTGTAATTCATCCACTTTAAACTCTTCCTATCTCATTCAACTTGTTTCGGGGTTAAATTTCAGATTTCAGTCCCTATAACTCATTCAGTGGTCAATAACTTGTGCTGTAATACCTCCTGTGAGCTGACAGTTTCCCACCCCCTCCCAACTGCAATAATGAGTGCAATACTTTGCTTATTTGGTACCTTTCATGACCGTTGGACATCTCAAAGCTCTTTGCAGCTGATGAAGCATGTTCTGAGGTATTGTCTCAATTGTAAGTTGGGAATGGCCAGTTTGCACACAGCAAGTTTCAGTAAAACACGATCTGGTGATAACCAAATAATCAGTTTGCTAGAACTGAAACTAATTCATATTGAGTCCTAGTCACCCAAAACATCCAGTGTAAAGTTCTCTTCCTTGTGTTTAGCTTCCTCCATAGTCTTTCCCTTCCCTATCTCTGCAACCTCTGTCTGAGACATCTTCCTCCAACTCTGGTTTATTTCTCATTTCTTTCTCCAACTCTTTTTTTTTTCGTCCTCTTAAAGTACTAATTAAATCTGACCCCTTTGAGAAAATTCTTAGTCACCTGCTCTAAATATTTGGGAGGTGACCCAGTATCCATTGGTTACTGATTACACTTCTGTGACAGACCATGGGACTTTTACTTGATTGGAATTGTAAAAGAAGTTCAAGTTGTTATTGTAAAGGGATGATCTACTTCAGACTGCAGTTTTACAGTGATGTCTCCAATGCTGAATGAATTCTGCTGTCCAATGACTTGGTTCACTGCATTCTGACCATGCTATCAACAAATCTGTCACTTTGCATTCTCATTCCTCCCTGGACCATCTAAAGAATCCTGTGGTCGCTGCCAATTTTTAATAGCTTTCATTTGTCAAGTTTCAACCTCCATTAAATTGCACCATTTCAGACTTCCCTAAACTGCCTGACTGCGTCATCGATCACAACTGCCCCATATTTTCAGTCTATTTCTGTGGGGGCCCTGCCACCTACAATTGGAGCTGCCCACTTGCCATTACCAGTAACAATGGTGTCGCTTAAACTGCACAGAGCACATTGGCTATTTTGGGAATGCCAGGCAGCTGTTGGCATCATCCTCTCCAGTCCTATTCACACCATTCTGCAATGGAACTCGTGACAAATGCTTCTGCTCCCAGTGATTGAGTTGAGAGTATCGTGCTCGATTAACTCCCCCTCTTGCCCCTCTGTGTTATCACAGGCTGACTATCTCATCCAGTCCCAAGGCTTGTGGAGCATGTGAAGACTAATTGATTGATTACACAAGTCTTTGAAAAATGTTACTGGGGTAAGTGGGGGGAACAGGGGTCAATGCAGTGACCCAGTGTCATAAGATGGTGCTTGAGATCTGGTTTTGCAGTTTCTCACTGCTCCCAATACCAACTGATCCTTTTTGTTAAAACTGTGGTAAAGTCTTCGCCCCTTCCACCGCCACCCCCACCCCCAATCCCTCTCTCCTCGCCCCTCCTCCCCCCGCCCCCACCACCCCCACCGTCCCTCTCTCTTCCCCCTGCCCCCGTCCATATCCTTCCACACACCCCTGGTCCATCAGTCTTCCCCCGGTCCCTATTTCCACACCCCCACCTCCACCCATCCCTATTCCACCACCTCCTCACCCCCGTCTCTGAAACTGCATTTTGGACTGAAAATGTTTGCATTTGCCAATGCTCCCTCTCTTCCTCTCTTTCTGTTCCAGTTCGTATTCCTGACGTATGTGCTAAGCATCACCTGGATGGGAGTCTTTGCTTTCTCTGCACTGCCAGTCTATATTTACTACACCATGTGGTCGACGTGCCAAACGCTCAAATATGTGACAGATGTAAATACAGGCTTTGATGATGTCTGTGTGGATGCGAGACAGTACGGTATGGACTCAGGCCATGTTTCATTGTTAAATAAACACTTCCTAAGTTAATAAGGTGTACAGCTGGATGAACACAGCAGGCCAAGCAGCATCATAGGAGCAGGAAGGCTGACGTTTCGGGCCTAGACCCTTCATCAGAAATGGGGGAGGGGAAGGG